ACCAGACGAATGAATGAATCTCACGACTCACACGTGTTCTGCTTTGCTTATTCAGTCCATCGTCTGATTCGACACGCATTGCCCGACACATGCACCGTGTCACATTCCTGTCGCGAGAAGCGCGATGCTGTCTCGTGAACCGTTCGATCCCCCCCCGCGGTTATTATCGCAACACGCTTTCGTTCCCGCTTTCGTTCGCATGCGCGATGCCGAATGGAACGAAAAACGGACGAAAACGCACGCGATGCGCGAATTATCACGGGGAGAGAATCCCGAAAATAGAAAAGATGCAATAACGATTTTGACGAGGATGAAGAAAATTGGCGGTGGAAGCAGATGTACGTGATAATTGAGAACTTCGTTTCGAAGGCGCAACTGTTGCTTTCTTCCTATTCGAGAGAATCGAGTCCACGAAGAGAAGAGACGTGGCAACGTGAAATATTATATACACGTATTCGAAGCATGAAAAAGGCATCGAAATTATCCACAGCGAGTTTCTCTCGAAGTTTTCGAGTATAAGGATTTATTATATAAAAATCAACGAGACAGAGACAGCCGATAAGGGGGAAATTTTGTTTCGATTAAGAAATTCGAAATGTGGATGTGGATGTTGCACTTGAATTCTCTTGGGTTGTTACTTCCTCGTGGCAACAAAACGGATCTCGTATTCGAGGAAATTGCACGCCGTTACGCGGCGAATAACGCGGTTGAAAAGACGCAAAACGGCGGAGAAACGCAGATTCGAAACACGCTCCGAAGGATTTCGTCATCGCAGATGCTCACTCGGAATACTCCGCGAGTCACCGCTCGAACAACTTTACGGTAAAACGGCGCATACCGATCGCCCGATTTGCGAGCTGCGATAAGTCGACGGTTCTCGATCGTGAATTAAGCCGTCGAGAACCGATCCTTCCTTATATGGATCGGGTTTTGGAATATTTTTCAATTTGAAAAATATTCCATAATTTTGTCCGATTAATGGTCGGTTAATCTAATCACACACGTGCGATAAAACGAATTAAAAGATTAACACGAAATTAAACGAAAACTTTCAAATTTTAATTTTATTTAAAAAGATAACGTTTCGAAATTTAAATCGTTAAATCGTGAAAATTTTATTTGTAATTTTAACGAACAATATTTCTTGAATTGAAACTTCAATTATTTTCGACATTATTAGCTTCAAAGTACACATCTGTTGAAAAATATATATTTTTTCGCCGAGAACGCATTATGTAAATTACTTTATTTGCGTCTATGAGTAAGCGGTTAGCTCTATAGGATAATTTATTAAGCCTGATTCTGAATGGATTAAACGTCGAACGAAAAATAAGATTTATTTTGGATATATGAAGGGAGATGTGGAGAAGCGATCACGAAAAAGCGTTAAATCTTGCACGCTCTTTCCTCGGCCTTCCCCTGAAACGTGTAGTTCGTCGTTCAATTGATCTACGTCAGCGACGCGAAATTGAATGGGACTCGAAATCAATTTCGATGCGTCAACGGACGAGAATTAACTGATTTATATATTGATTGTTATACGATATATTTACACTCAAACTTCGTAGAAAGAAAGGAATCTGTATATCGAACTTGCGTGTCGTATATTTATCGTTTGAAATTCGTTTGAATCGGTTTAAAAATAGATTCAAATGGACATACGATATCACATATCGCGTCACATTAATTAAATCATGATGATAATAATTATGTAAAAAAAAAAAAAAAAAAAAAA